AAAATATCCATTACTGTTAGCTTGTTCTGTCTAGGTTAAGATCATTACAAAAATGTATCGTAAGTTCATAAAACTCTCTCAAATGATATGATTCAACTCTTTGTAATTTATAACAGAGGAAATCTTTTGTCAATATAAAGAAAATCTGCCTTTGAAATTGTTTAAATGCAGGAAGGAGGCTGCCCGTACATATTTCTCCTAAAAATGTACATCTCTTTTTCCAAATCTTCACTATCAAGAACTTCTGAGAATGTATGTTGGGCTGAAACATAAAAGGAGGTTGAAAACCACTGAACTAGAGAATATTCTCTTTATTGAAATATAGTGAAACTGTGTTTACAACACATGAAACACATCTAGTTACTTAGAAGAGCCTGGTGGCTCCCCTCACATTTTCATGAGGCCTGCCTGCTGTTGCTGTCGCTCTGAGTCCAGGTACCTAGACAGGGCCACCTCTAGTCTGTATGGCAGCTTCATATGAATTCTTAAAAGGTACCTCTGCCATTTGTTGGAAATCTGTTGTAATATGCTGGTATTGTTAGAAGACGCTTTATTCTGACAGATGTTTGTGATAATAAATATACAAACTCATGTTAATTGCACCCTCTTGGACGTGGTACCACTGTGTGCAGTACATTGCCTGCACAATCACACGGGGCATTTGCAAGTAGGAAAAAAAAAGAAATCACCATGGCAACATTTGTCTATAACATGAAAATGAGAAAGCAGGTTCATTGCAGTAACTCCTGGAAAGTTCCCGTTCAGCAAATTGGTGGTGCTGGAGTGTTGCGGAGGTGGAGCGTGGGGTGGGGAAGGCTTCCATTATTGAGAATAAGAGCTTGGCAATTGCTTTTTATATGTCTTCCAGTCAGTTAGAAACAGCCTGCAAATTCCAAATACTTAGCTAAATGGAAAAGATTCTCTGTTTACAGAGAAAACACAAAGCTTGCTTCTTCCCCATCATTAAGCAGACCGAGTATACTTAGCAGAACTTTTCCACTTAGATGTCCAAGTTAAGGCTATCAGTGACTTTTGCTTGAAATCTAAACATTTTAGAAACATTTTGTAGGAAAAATGATTCACAGGAGCTTTCAAAAAATCAAATAAATAGTTTGGGGGTTTCCATCTTGGAATTAGGATGTTTATTTAAGAAAGTCTAATAAAGCCCTCTTTCAAGCCCATGAAAATTATAGTCAGAATCAAGTGGCAACTAAGGATTCAGGAAATAGCTATCGATTTGTGAGAGAGAGAGGGAAAGAAAGGGTGGGGAACAGAGCAACTTGAGGAGAAATTTTTGCTAATCATTCCTGTTTCCTCCAACTTTGAAAGAGCATTCCGCCAGCAGCAGTTTAAAGCATTCTCACTCCCAGATTAGCCCACCTAGGCAAAAGGTAGTCCCCAGGGTGTGACTCGGGCTGAGCTTTTCTGAGCAAAGGCACCAGAGTGGGTGGGGCTGACACACTGGCTGCAAGCCTTAGTGAAAAGGGATTTTTCTCTTTTTTTTTCTTTTTCTTTTTTAATCATTGTTCAAGTACAGTTTTCTCCTGAAAAGGGGTTTTTCAATGAGGGTAGGCAGGGCAATAAGGGAAAGTTCAAAGCCTCATGCCCAAGTGATTGGGCAGAAATCAGGAAAGAATCTAAAAAGAGCTGGTGAGGGAGATCCTGACTAGAGAGAGAAATCTGTGCTGCAGAAGAATCCATATGGATGCCAGAAATGGAGCCTTTTAGAGTGTGCCCAGAGATGAGCCCTAAGAAGGGAGATGGCCATGAAAGAAACTAAACTAATTTGGACACCAACCTGCCTTTATATATACTTTCAAAACCTCCATGGTCAAGAAATCAGAAAACAGTGAGAGAAAGGTAGTATCAGAAGAGCCAGAGAAATGCGTAGTGATGTGTAATGAGAGATAACTGGGGGCATGTGCAGATTTATTTTGATCACAGTGACAAAGCTGGACAAGCACCTGGAAGTGAATATGGAAGTATAATAGTTCTGAAGTAGCCACATGAGGGATCAAAGACTCTGAACGATTTAGAAGAAAAACGTAACTTAGCCAAATGCCACTGATGACATTTCACAAACACTTTCTACCTTATGCTCCTAATTATTCTATATAAATATAATCCTAAATCCATTTAGGTTGTCTAATAAGCAAACACTCTTAAAATTCCATAGTTGCTTGTTTTCTATTTCAGTGAAATAATGGTAAGAGATATACCTACGATGTGTCCTTACTATCACTTAGAAGGACTCAGCAATGATATAAACCACATGGAAGTTTAGGCAGACCCATAATCCGCAGTTGAACTTTAGTTATTGTTGTGGTTAATGGGTGGCTTAGTTGGCCCATCAGCTCCATGATCAGGGAGGTAGGAAAGGAACTTCCCATGAAGGACAGGAAATTAAAATGTGACCTTGCCTGTTGGATGTGACTCAAGAGTGACTTCATCGACAACCCAGAAGATAAGTAACTTTACTCTTTGGGCATGAGGTGGAGCTGGGTAGAAAGTATAGATGAAGAAGCCAGAAACCTCCCCATATGTGTACCTTAAGGAGTTATGAAAGATGAAGCCAGTGGCTCTCAACCTTGGCTTCACGTGAGGGTCACCTGGAGCTTTTTACAAATTCTAATACCCATACCACACCTCAGGCCAATCAAAGGAGAATTGCTTAGGATGGGACCTGGCACTAGTGTGTCTTGTTTTATTTAAGTTCCTCAGGTTGTTCCTCTGTGTAGCTAAGGTGAGAACACCTGGATTAAATGAGACACTTGCAGGTGTCTGGCATGTGCCCAATGAGTGTGACTATCCTCCTCTTTAATCATTTTCTGCTACCTACCTCTCCCTTTTCTGAACTTACACAGGGTAGTATTGTATCTGTTTTGGTTTTACCACATGTATCAGAGGTGACTTTGCCTCAGAGATGGGAAATTCTGTTTGTCTTCATGTTGAAAAAGATAGAACTCTCTTCGCACTTTAGGTGTACTGTCTCATCTGTCTCATCACTGATTTCATACCTCTCTCCTTCCTTCCAATATTACTTACCCTCTGCACCATTAGGCCCCAGAAACTGGATTTAGGAAGATTTCTAACTTCTGTGTCCCTGGAAGTTGAATTTAGCCACATCTTCTTGAGCACTTCAGAAGGATCAGGGTGAAAATAAAGTTTAATGAATAAAGGAGGTTCCTAAAAATAGAACACAATTCATCCATTTCAGTTAAAAATGCCATCATGTTTTCTAAGCATTTTTGAACTCTTTAGCATTTTTAATAAGCTTACTTATGAGTCTTGTTGAAAAATAAATAAAATACACTTGTTTTCATTAAGGAAAGAGATCCTTTTCCATCTTAGTTGCTATTGAAGGAGACAAAAAGGAGTCTAAAACTTGGCAAAGGAATACATTATTAGTGACATATTGGTCACAGATGTGCTGGTAGAGCTACGTTTTCTTCCTGTGATTTGTATTTTAAGCATCCTCAAATTACATATGAAAGTCCAGATAACTTCCTTACAAAAGGGAAGAGAAAAATTATGGTATTTGCAAAATCTTAGTTTTTAAGGTATTCTAGCTGTGTTCTTATTAATAGGTAAGTGACAAATGTTTATTTGCAAACTATACTCTAGAGACATAGTTCTAGATGATGCCAATCTTTATTATTATCATCAATTATTATCATCAATTTTGAGTGTGTTAAGCAAGTGCAGATACCTGGAAATATTTTTGTTTGTTTTATATTTAAATTACTTTATTGTTGTTCAATTACAGTTATCCGTATTTTCTCCCCAACCCTCCCCTCCACCCTCTCCAAACCCACCTCCCTCCCTTGCTTCCACCCTCCCCCTTGGTTTTGTCCATTTGTCCTTTATAGTAGTTCCTAAAAACCCTTCTCCCCACTGTCCCCTCCCCCACCCCCTCTTGCTATTGTTAGATTGTTCTTAATTTCAATGACTCTGGTTATATTTTGTTTGCTTTTTTTCTTTTGTTGATTATGTTCCAGTTAAAGGTGATATTTTAGCAATACTTTTAAATTACAAGATTTACTTCTAACAATTCTTAAGAAAGTCAGGAAGTCAAAACTCAAGAGGCAAACAGGAATTCTCTCTAAAAACGTTATTGCTTGAATCTGTAGGCCTTTGAAGCACGGTATGAGGAGTTTGGCCAAGTTGTGTTCAATTGCAAAAAGTGCTAAAAGGACTTTAAGGAGAGTATGGACAAGCCAGCTCTGGGAACAGGGTTAGGATTCACCTGGGAGGAAATGGCATTGGCACCAAGATACCCATTAAGGAAGTTGTAATAGATGAACATAATTCCAGCTCCAAGGCCCTAATTGTAAGGATGTGATGGAAGGAAAAGGAATATTATAAAAGAAAAAGGATCAAGAAACATATATGATGGACATAAAAATAATAATGACAACTAAAACTTTTATAAGACTTCTTGAGAACTTTTTTATTCATGTTGATAAGAAAACGAGACAAGTAATGACTCCTAGTGGGGTGGAGGAGTCTTTGATTTTCATAATGTTTAAATTGATAAGCTAACCAATTTCAAATGTCATGTTAAATTGAAATTGATATGAAATTGAACAAAAGTGGGAAAGTAGGCAAAAAAAAAATTAGTGCACTACTCATGCAAAGAAATTGAATTATGACCCAGAAAAGACAATATGGCCAAGTAGGTAGAAGGTTATCTATTTGCACTTCTAATTAGGTAATAATATGCATTTTAAGATGAATTAGTGATCTGATGATTGCAAAGGCAGATGGCTTTGAATCAGGAGCTTGGGATGCACTTCGTAGCCCCAAGGCTCTCTGATGCACTGTCAAGGTGATGTCAGTGTGTGATGCTAGTCGAGCACTGTCTGCTCTCTTGTGTGTTACCTGATTTTATAAGTTCAAGACATCATACTATACAGTTTTTTAAAAAAATAAACTTATAAAAAAGACAAGTTATTTTCATTCTCAAAGTACCCTGTTTTTGTTTTTTCCCATTTCCTCAGGAAAGTGACAATATTGGAGGACCCCGATCAGAACATTCACTTGAAAAACCTGTCTCTTCATCAGGCAACCACGGAGGAAGAAGCTCTGAATCTGCTTTTCTTAGGAGATACCAACAGAATGATTGCAGAGGTAGTCAACTTTTCTCTGCAAGCTGTTTTCATGTATTAGAAGATACAATAGAATTTGGGGGACAGCAACGACCTTAGAAATGATCTTGCCTGAATCTCATGTTCCATATTAGAAATCTAGATGCAGAGGAGTAAGGAGACTTTCCCAAGGTCAGCCAGCTAGTTAATGAGCAGGAACTAAAATCTAGATTCTAAAATATGGAAAAAAATTTCTATTTTTCTATTTCACACAAATTGGTTTGCAGTTAATGAATGAGAACTCATTAAGTGTCTTAATTATAGGAATTTCTGCATAAGTTTTGGAATTTAAAAATACAGAATCATTTTTCGTAATCTCAGATTATCCATGTATGGCATTTGTTTACATACCCATATAATTTCATGTATTCAGTGCATTATTAATTAGAAGGCATGTGGAACACTGCACGGAATACAGGAAGTGTTTGCTCTGTGCACTGGCCGCTGTTGCTGGCAGATCTGGGAACACTGCCGCAGTGTGTAATATGAGTATGTTTCAGTGCAGTATTTGGGACATACTTGTACTATTTGTTGTCAATCTGCCATTCAAAGCAAGGCACCTGTATTTTATCTGGGAACCCAAGGCAGGAGCCAGGATTGACCCTACTTGTTCAGGGGACCCTAACCTCAACCCGTTACTGACTAGAGATGGAGGGTCAGGAAGCTCTCATCCAGTGACGCAGGGGTGATGGGAACCGAGCGGTGACGGTGGCTGCGGGGGCATGGGAATAGTTCCCCAAACATGCCGCTCCCTGTTAGCCCTGGCAGCTTCCTTTGTAAACCATGCTCCCAGATTGTCTGTGTCTGATAGCAAGTGGTAGGTGAGGATAATAAGCTGGGAGGATGAGCATTCTGAGAAAGTCTATCAACTGACCTTTTTTCCTGCCCCATCTCCACTCACTGGGACACAGCACCTCAGATACAAGATAAACAAATGGAAACCAAATTCAGATACTGAAAATACAGTGTTGATACCTGTTTTTGTGGTGGTATGGGTGTTGTTTTTTACAGTACTGCATCAATATAAACTGAGTTTATGTGCCACGTATAATGTGGACTTATGGACTCAAATTATTATTTTCATTTCGGAAGAGTTTTACATAGTTTTTAATTTCAGAATATCTTGTCTAGCTTTACAAAAAATTGCATTTGTGTTTTGCTTCAACATTTTGCCCATGTGGTCATCTGTGATACTCTTATTTGTCACAATAATTAAAGACTAAGGAATAAAGGCAGTTTAAGAATTAAGGCATATAATGATGAAAGATTTAGCATGCCTCATTAAAAATCCTGATTCTGTCTTAGTGGCTTAGTTTGTGGGGTATCACCTTGCAAAGCAAAAGGTCACCAGTTTGATTCCCGGTTGAGGTACATGGCTGGGTTGCGGGTTTGGTCCCAGATCAGGTCACAGAGGCAACCAATTGATGTTTCCCTCCTTTCCTTTCTCCCTCCCTTTCCCTCTCTCTAGAAATAAATAAATTCTTTTTTAAAAATCCATACACAGTTTAACAAACAGTAAGCCAGGAGATACAGAACATAAATGGATCCTGCCCACCAGTGAAATATGAAAAAGAGAATAAATGCTATTGGAAAAGAAAAAGGAGAAGTGTGTTCCTACCTCAGTGCTAACCTTTCTCCAGAAGTGACTCATCCTGAGATAAATCTAGGCCTTGTCCTCACAATTACATCCCCTCATCTGGGATGAGTTACTGAGGGCTCTTGGCCCTTATTTACCATAACCTCCATTAGCTCAGAAGCTTGGCCAGTTGCTATCTAGTTCGTTAACTTTAGCTAACTACATCTTTTCAACCTATTGTAAAGTTTTGAGGACCTCAAATTTTCTTGTTCAAGCTTATCTGTCATGTTCTACCACCTTACAAAATCCCAACTATTCTTCCTGTTACTTACTGATGAGTACCTAATGATATTATTCTAAATAACCTAAAACCTGAAGAACTACAATTCAAATAGTGCCAGTGTGCATTTTTTCAATTAACTCATTTTTCCAGTGTAAAGCCTAATTTTTAAAAACCAAATCTAATAGGTTTTGGATGTTTGTGTACTTGCTTTTATATCTTCTTTGGTAATAACAGTTACTGTGTTGTTCTGAGAACCTTTTCAATAGACTTGATGCTGTGGTGGACACTGTATATGTATATATTATTTCTGATTCTTATTTTATAGGGGAAACTGAGGCTCAAAGTGTTGGAATACTTGTCCAACAACCCACAACTAGCAGGTGGCAGAGCCAGGATTCAGCTCCAAGTCTGGCTGATTCAGAAACTCATGTTCTTTCCTTATGCCGCATTTCACAAGTACAGCAATCAAACTGACATATGTCCAGTTTTTCAAGTGAGGATATATTTTTGAATCATTTAAAAAGTACAGTGAATATTTAGCACTTTGGTTTATCTCTTGAATTCATTGAAAGCAAATACATAAAAATACAAATGAAAAATAACTGTCAATCTCTGGAAATGCTTTATTATTCAGAGTCCCTAAAAAATAGCATGTTTTAGATTACAGCCTAGCTGTCAGAATGTAATTTGTCAGTGCAGAGTGAGCTTACCAGGAGAAAAAGAATACAGTATACATTTTTTTTTCAAAATTTACACAGAGAAATCCAGAAGTTGTCATAGTAACCAGAAAACACTTGCAAAACAAAGCCTGAATATGTGGGACAGGAGAGGAGAGCTCTTTCCTTTCATGTCCCCTCAGAGCCAGCATTTTAAGGAACAGTTATCAAGTTTAGCTTCATCTTCTTGCTTATTCAGAACTCTTGAATAATTTCTGTAATCCTACCAATGTTTTCAATAAAAACTGATTATATCTTTAGGGTAATTTTTTTGAAGTTGAATTGCTGTGCTAAAGAGAATAAATATATTAAAAGGTGACCCGTGTGTGACCCAGTGTCAAAGCCTCCCAGTAGCAACTATTACTTGATACTTTTTAAAAAAGATTTTATTTATTTATTTTTAGAGAGGGAAGGGAGGGAGATAGAGAGAGAGAGAGAGAGAAATATCAATGTACGGTTGCTGGGGTCATGGCCTGCAACCCAGGAGTGTACCCTGACTGGGAATCGAACCTGCTACACTTTGGTTCACAGCCCATGCTCAATCCACTGAGCTATGCCAGCCAGGGCTGATACTTTTTGTCTTATAGTTAAATGTTTCTATGAATTAATCGAGTCTAATTGAGCGAAACATTCTTCATTTGCTTGTCAGGCCCTGCAGAATTCCATAGCTGGGACCATTTGCTCGATCCTACCTATAATCTAAGCAATCTGTCCCCAAGTATGGCCAGAGGGTAACTTGCAACTGAGTGCCCTGTTGTAGTCAAAAGACACAGTTTGGGGGATACAATTTCTGAACTCTGGATTCAGAATCTCTGCATTTGAGTCCAGGAATGGACATTTTAGCATCTAAATGTGCTCAGGCTAAAGTTGGGGGCAATTTAGATTTTTCCTTTGAGAAGCTGGTTGAAACTCACTCCCAGAAAAGTATGTGAGCAGGTCTGTATTCTGTACCCTTGCCAACACCACTGTATTTGAAAATTCTGCCAATTTGGTAGGAAAAAAAAATACACACACACACACACACACACACACACACACACACACACAGACATATATATAGTTTTAGTTTTTGGTTTTGATTACCATATTCTTTTATATCTTTATTTACCATTTGTATTTGTGTTTTTGTTTACGTCTTCTATTTGTTTTTCACTGGGAGTGTTAGAGTAGGTCTGGTCGTGTTGTTGGCTCCATGCAGGCACCCCTGGACCACCGCTCCCAGAAAAGGAGCCTGATGCCTGCTAGGGACTTGGTAAATGATTGTTGAATGCATGAACATTAAAGACAATAACTTTGGTCTTTGTCATATGTTTAGGAAAAACTTTTCTCATAATATAATTTTTTAGTTTTCTTTTTTTAATATAGTCAAATCAGTCTGTTTTATGGTTTCTGCTTTGGATAGCATGCTTAGAAATGCAATAGTTCACTGAGGAATGATTCCACTTATTAGAAAGTGTTTTATTATTTTGAATTGAAATTTGATGCTCAGTTGCAGCCACCCATTGTTCCCATTTTGGCCTGCGACATGGAAAGGGATGGTCATCTTCAGGTTGGAGTAAATCTTACCAGAAGTTTCTGGAGCATGGAGACTTTTCCTGAACCTTGAAGTAAAATAAAACTGTTCTAAATTTACAAAATCAAGGTTCATTTTGAATCTTCCCTCTAGAAGTAGCCTCCATTGATAAAAGTGCCATTTAAATACCCATTTTAAGGAGTAATAATGTTCAAAGTGAATCATGAGGCTAACAGGAGCCTCTTATATAAGCTGATGTGGGGAAGAGAATAGTGTCCTGGGTCCTTTCCACCAAAACTTCACAGTAGTGTCTGTTAAGGGCTAAACTGTGTCTTCTCTTCCCTTCCCCCAGTTCATATGTTGAAGTCCTAACTCCTGTGCTTCAGAATATGACCTTATTGAGAGATAGGGTCTTACAGAGGTAATCGAGTTAAAATGAGGTCATTAGGGTGAGCTCTAAACAACACGGCTTGTGTCCTTATGAAGTGGGGAAGTTTGGAGATAGACACACACAGGGAGAATGCCATGTGAAATGAAGAGATCATCTCTGAGGACAGGGGCCTGGAACAGAAAGTTTCCTCCCAGTCCTCAGAAGGAAGAACCAATCCTGCCAGCACCTCCGTTTTGTACCTCTAGTCTTCAGAACTGTGAGATAATAAGTTTTAGTTGTTTAAGCCACCTAGTTTGTTGTATTTGGTTATGGCACCCCTACCAAATTAACATGGTGTCCAAATAACCTAGGATATAATTCCTTATATAAAAGGTACCTGGTATAGATCTTGACCCTGATTAATTCAGGAGCAATAATATGCTGTATCTAATAGTATGCAATATTTGCTATTAAAATGCTTGGAGGAGAACTTTGATGAGAAAAGAATATTCTGTGCCAACGTTG